CCCAGTGTATTTTTAAATACGCAGTAGAGGTATTTCAAGGTAGTAGAGGACATTTACCTGTATATAAAAAACGCGCCCTATAGTCCGGTGCGCCTTATGTGTGTGTTAAATACAGAAATGGGACACATAACTGAGAGTGCGCCTTTTAGTACGGTGCGCCTTATGGTCGTGAAAATACGGTACAAATTTTTTTCCCCAACTAAAAAGTAATCGCTGCATGTCAGCGTCTCCCCGCACACTAATTAAAATGTTAAATAAATCAGCTGTGAAGCCGATGACTTTGACCTTGTCGTTTGAAAAACCTCTCCCATATGAGAGAAAAAGGAAGAGATGGAGGGAAATTACAGACCCTATTTTTTTATGTTATTTAAATATTTTTCAGATGCTCTAATACCTGTCATGTGGTCTTGTTCAGGCAGGCGTTCTCTAAACTTACCGGTAGCAATTTTCTGAATTTGACAAATTTTTGTCCCAGCATGTAAAGGCCAACACAAATAGTTTGTAGATGCTCTAATTTCCTGATTTTTTGGACAGTACTTAGACTTTAGTTTTTTTTAATTTAATGTTAATTTTTTCATTCTGCATTTTGTTTTTATTATTATGCACTAAAGAGCCATTTTTTAATTTTACATTTAATTTAGTATTGTGTGTTTTTGCTTTGTTTTCTGTTTGGTTGCTGGGATTTTGTTAAAGAGCTAATACTGGCACCCAGAGACATAATGTGGCAGTATTATTTGTGGTTAAAATAAAATATTTTAAATATATAATTTTACTTGAGTTGATGTTAAGTCTATTCTAAAAGCTCAGTTTCACCTTTAGGGTTCCTGTTGGATCCTGGGCTCAGTCTGAACTCATTTATTCTTTAAGGACATTCAAGCCAAAATGTTAGCCATGATATGTGCTGTCCTGAATAGTGATCAGTACTTAATTTAGCACCGGGACAGATTTGGAGCTTAGGAAGTATATGGTTTCCCACAATCCTTTGCATGTCACAACATATAGGCAACAACCTGTTTAATAACCAGTTATTGGGTCAATGTTGAATTAGACATGCCTGGCTCAGTGTTGATGGCTTCAAAAATTTAGTGGTTCCTTTGCTTTGGGATGTATCGCTAAATGTTACTGGAGGCTGATTTGTATATATTTCAGTCTAAGTATTATTTGAACCATCTGAAAAAGTAAAAAAATAAATTAAATAATCATTGACTTTGAAGCAGTTTGTTGTATAATTATACAACTACAAAAAGAATTGTTTTAATTCATCAGTATGCTAGAGTCAAGGTCTACTAGATGATTGTAAATAACAGGAACTGCATTTTGACTTTACAGTATACCAATTGCATATTCTATATAGAACATGTTTACTAGATATGCAATATGTAGATGCCTTAGGAGATTATGCATTAGGTTAAACCTCAGTCTTGCAATGACTACATGTAGTCGAGTGAATTTTACCTCAGTGATAAATATTTACTCAAAACAGACAATTCTACATTTAGATTTTAGAGGACTATGCAATTCCCTGAAAGCTGTTCTTGAATTGCTGTGGTTGTGAAAGTGGTAGAAAAATCAAGCAGCAAAGTCATTTCATGTAATCTTCTTTCCACTTACTTTGGAAAATTTGTTGCTTTCATATGGTAGCATATGGCAATCTGACAAGTGTATTAATCAAAGATGTTTAACTGTTTTCACCTACCATGTTACAAGTGGAGCTTTATTGACAACTGTCCAAATTGACCGTCTCCCTGCTTTTATAACTCCTCTTTTTGCCGTTTCAGGTTGAAGCTCCATTCATACCAAAGTGCAGAGGCCCAGGGGACACCAGCAACTTCGACGATTACGAGGAGGAGGACATCCGTGTTTCTGTAACGGAAAAATGTGCAAAGGAGTTTGCAGAGTTTTAAGAAACAAGAACATGGATAAATCAGGGAAACATAAAGGGGACCTTTGCACTCTTCTATAAGACTTGTGATGGAACAGGGACCATCTTTTCTTTTCAGATCTACATAGTCCCTTCATTCCACAAGGCTGAAAGAGGTCGTTGTGATCCTTCAGTGTCGATAACTTCTCACTGTCAAATCACCTGCACATTAAAGCAGTCGCATCACCTTTTTTTTTGTCACTTTGAAAGCAGTTAGTTGTTTGTTTGGATTTTTTTTTTAAGTGTGTGTGACAAAACTGAGACTGCGGCCAGTAGCAGTCCACACTAGATGATTTCTCTCGTCATTTGGGTTATTTGTGTTCTCGTCTGTCATCATCAGCGATGAGTTGAAGTCTGCATCGTATTAAGTTGAGCCAGTTTACCCAGCTACTTTTGGTCCTGTGCATATCTGAGTTTGTACGGCAGTGACAACAATGAGTGTTTAAAGCATGACCAAATAGAAGTTGACTGGCTGACACAAGGGAAGTTGTTTCTTTTGCTTTTTGCCTTAGAAAGCCAAGTCCTCAGACCACCCCTCTCTATAGGACTCTTTCCATAATAGGCCATTGCAGAAAATGACAAATCTTGCATTTAAAACAAATGCAAATCCACTTCTTTGTTTGATCCAATTGGGTCTAATAGTTACATTTAGAAGCTGTACTCTGCCATTTTACTGGGGTTTCTTTGTTTTGTCTTTGTTGAGTCACTTAATTGGTCCCCTTGGGGACTTTTGCCACAAGTATGTGGAAACGGTGAATTCCGTAAAAGAAAATAAGGTAAATAAATCCTTTTTAGGATTATGTTTTAAATTAAACCAAATAGTCATCAGTGGGAATAGTGGGCATTTTCCGCCTGAAGAATGTTTTATTTTATTTTTTTAAATGATGAAGTTTTACGATTAAAAAACAAAAGGGAAATATACATATTTATTATATATCACCCCAATTATTATTATTTTTTTTTATTATTCTTGTGACAGAATGTAGGTTTGCAACTTCTAGGTTTGTGTGTTTTTGCTCACAGGACACTGGCTAAACTGAAGACTGCTCCTTTGTATCACATGTAACCCTTTTCCTGTTATGCTCATAACATGATATGCATTGTTCCACATATGTTTTTATTTATACACATTAGAGAAGATGCTAATAAATTTTATTTTTAAAAGTGTTGAAGTTTGACAACCATTTTATATCAGAGATCTCAGGAGTAAAGTTGGAAAAGGTGTCCTGTCAAAGTAATACTTTGTGAACTGAGTAGTTGTTGGTTTTTTTTAACACTAATAAATGGGTACCTTTTACATAAACACAAACTAAAGCTAATACAAAAATGTATTAATAACCAAATTTTAATTTGAATGACTAAGAGAAAATACATCTTGATATAAAATGAGAGGGGTCGATTTACAATTTTGTTCATGAAATGAAAATAAGACATCAGTATAAAAAATTTTTTTTTTAATGTTTCACATAAAATTGTTTTCTTCATATTGATGTATTTTAATTAATTTACCTTTTATTCAAAAGTCTACATTTTAAAACAATTACATCACATATTTTTCTGTTGAGGTGTTCCTATGATGAAATTCACTGCGAATTTCCCAAAAATAGCATCCTTCTTTTATAAAACCTAAACCCTTAAATGGGGCCAAGACAATCAGATTAATTGTGATTATTGAAATAATCATTTTATTTAGTAATATATTAATGGTGAAATGGAGTATAGAGACTGTAAAACATGCCTTTAGCTGACAGAGAGACCCACTTAGAGCAGTAATATCAAAATTGTACAAAAAATTTAAAAAAGCAAACGTTTCGCAATAAAGATTAAAAAAATATATATATATACACATATATATATATATTTGAATTTTACTTGAATATATTCAATCCAGAACTCTAGTGGAAAAGTTTTAGTTTAACATTTTCAAATTTGGCGAAAAATCTTTAAGGAACCTTTGGTTATCCGACGATTCATCGAAAAAATAATCAACAGATTAATGGATTTAATGCAAAATTATCGTTAGTTGCAGCCCTACAAATGTAATGTAAGACAGGGGTCTTCAACGTTTTCCAGGCCAAGGACCCCAAAACTGATGTTGAGATTGAGCAAGGACCCCCTTATTATATTTATTGTATGAAATTGTGTTATATCAAACTGGTCATATAGTCACTCTATTACAGATGGAGTAATGTAACGAAAGTAATTTTTCCCTGGGATTATTAAAGTATTTCTGATTCTGATTCCTCATAGATGGGACAGGTGTTGTGAATGACATGGTGCCCCAGGTATAAAAACAAAAAAACAAAAAAGAGATATGAACGTTTAAATATCTAACGTTCATCTAAATGATTTCGAACAGTTGTGTCTAACGCGTTTGGCTTTATCTTATATTACTGAAAATGCTTACATTTAATTTTAAGACATTTGTTAAACAAATATGAACTACGAATCGCGGTTAAAGTTGCTTCTTTTAGATCCGAGCATCTTGCCGTATCTGTTCACCTATCTGTTCAGATTAAATGTCTTGCTTATAAGTGGAAAATCTGAAACCCGTCAAGATCTTTTAGATGAAGTTAGTTATTTGTTATATGGTATAAAGCAACAAAAATAAGTATTCAATTCACATGGGTTCCAGCACATAGAGGAATTGTAGGTAATGAAAAAATAGATAAGTTGGCTAAAGAAGTTAAAGCAAGAGAAATTGAATATGATGTCCTATTAAGTAGAGCAGAAATAAAAGTAATTATTAAAGATAAATAACATGGCAGGAGAGATGGAATTTAGAAGAAATAGGGTGGCATTTACATAAAATACAGAAGGTGGTAATAATAAGAAATCCTGGTATAACGAATAGGAGAGAGGAAGTATGGATAAACAGGTTGAGGATTGGGCACACAAGTTTAAATAGTGGTTTAAAAAGTATAGGGAAACATCCATCAGGTGATTGTTCCTATTGTGGGGAAACAGAAGGAGTAGAACATGTGTTCATTTATTGTAGAAAATATATAAAAGAGAGGAAAGAACAGGAAAGG